GGATTTAACCGGCAAAAGCTATAGGAAAAATACATTATTAATCAGCATTGAATTCACAAATGCTCTAAGTTATACAGATTTTATTGTTGTTGGTAGTAAACTCTTGGGTTCGCTTTGTGAAGTAGCAGTGAAATACAAGAAAATGAGCTCAAGGGACTTCAAACTTATGTTTTTGATTAATTAATGCCCGTAACGATCAATATGATGTCATCAGTTTGCTTGTATTAATTGTCTTATGCCATTAATTTGGAGTAAATCGGTAAATGAACGGACTTATAGTTTCTGACTGGCACTTCAATGTATTATACGGCACTTTTAGTAAAATCAGTAGTTCTTTTATTTACCTAATAACAAAATATCTCAAGATTATTGTTGCTTGGCCTTGTGTCATACAAGTAAAAGTGATGATTCACCGGAGCAGATTTTCTTTCTCTTCATGACTAGAGCGTTCATTTCAAATGATTGATCAGATGATCAATTTGATTCTTCAGTTCCATATTCCTTTGCAGAAAAAAAAGATTCTAATATTCACTTACTTGCATCCCTATTTTTTTATACAGTAGAGGAAAAATAAAAATAGAGTTCCTTTACCTGTACGAACGCAAGAGTTAGGCTGCTTTTATCAGTGCTTCTTTACATGAAAATTTCCACTTTTAAACCAGTCTTTGGATTTCTGCAGCTATTTATTCTTTTCATCACATCATAATGGTAAGTTAATTTCGTTTTTTAACTTTATCATCCAATAATTTTGAATTAAACAAGTTTTCAGAAAAGTTCTATCAAATGAAACTAAATTTTATCCAGTAATCAATAATTTCACCTTTCAGTGGTAAAAATGGAAAATTTTGGTAGTTACTGTAAAAGACAACAATTAAGTAGATTCCTTGCGTTTTATTACTTCAGGGTCAGTAAAAACTAGATGTTGCTTGTAAGCTTTGATTTGTTGCTTTGTTCTTTTTACTATCGTTTTTTTATCTAAAAAAATTGATCACTTGACCAACTTGATTTTTCGATTTTGATTTCTTTTGCTAAAAAAAACGATTTTAACATTTAATCGTTGTTAAATTGCAAGAATAACAATAGCAAGGAAAAAAAGTGCAACGTAATAAATTAAGCAACATTTCGCATAATAATAAGATATTACTTATTACGCAAAATTTTGCTCTCGAAGAATAGTTTACTTGAGTATATTTACATAATTTGAGAGCGAGGTACGCAATGATCAGTGACCTATGCAGAGTCAGAGGTCACGCTCCAAAAAATTGATCGGTAAAAGGTGAGATGTCCTCATATCTCAAAACAAGACATTTATGTAGTATTCATTATCTGTGTTTATCGTTTGTATCGTATTACCTTAATCTCACTTGTCTGTTTCTTTTACTCATGAGGTTGTGGTTATTGGCCGCTTATAGAGTCGCGACATTTGTGCAGTTCATCGCGATAATGTCCGCCTCCACAGTGGTTGTTTTTTTTAGGTAGTTGCTTCAGTGAACGAAAATGTTGTTGAGTACATTATTCTCGCAACTATTTCCAGTACTAATTGACCATGGACGTTATAGTCTTCTATGTTTGAAAAACTTTTCAGACTTTTATCTGTCAACTTCAAGTGATACGCACACTGTTCATGTACTTGCGAATGCGAAAGCGTATGCGCATGCGTATAAGATATAGATATTCATTATCTCTGTCTTTTTGTTGCATATATAACTTGCATATATAACTACTAACATACCCACTCTTGGTATTTTGATTAGAATGGTTTGGGTCTAATATATTTCAAAATTCCTGATATTTCTTTGAATAATTCAGGGAATGAAAGATAATATAATTTAATAAAATAATATAATTGAAGCTTTCTGTCTATATTTGTCGTCATATAGAAAGCTTCAGTTATTAGATAATCATCTTTTCTTGGGACTTTTAATGATTCACAAGGAGTAATGTTATTGTTTGTTGCAAATAATATATTAGATAGAAACTAGGATGGAATTATATTCTGTATAAAAAACTTTAGTTTAGTTTATTATCATTTGGGTTGTTAAGACTTGGCAATACCCTCGCATTTTCATTTTTGCAAAGGCAGAAAGTCTGAATATGATTAATTCTTAATATGTGGGTGAGTTAAGTTTGCACAAGTAAAACAACTTGATAATGTGCAAAAAAAAACTTGTAAAATCAGAGAAAAATTATCAAATTTGAAGTTGAAGAAATAGGAAATATGAAAATAATTTTCTTTTCAGGAGTATTTGCGAAGATTATACTGTTATTCATTTCTTGTGGAAAATGCAAATTGATCCTAAGAGTTTTCATCACGGTGATAATGGAATGACAGAATTTTTTTTAATTATTTGGATAAGTATTTTTTGACTAGTTTAACTCATTTGCGGTTATTTTTTTCATATCTTTTTCGAAAGAGTGAAAGTAGCCACTTACAGATATTGACAGTAAATTTTCAAACATAATTTCTATGCTTGCATACGTATTATAATCCTTGTTCACTTGGATTTAATATTCTTTGAAATTGAGAATGCTGCTTACATTAAAATTATTATTCTTATCAGTGTGTGTTTATCATCATTTTTCATGAGTTTATCAAATACTTTCTTTATTTAACAGCTTTTTCTTAATCATTTTTCGTGAAAATCTTGAGTGGAAACATGTTTTCATGGTATATAATATCCCACATTATAAGCATGCTAGGATGTGTGTATGCTTGTTAGTGTTTGCATGTATGTAGATGCATATTTGATAGGCTTTGTCTGCATATCGGTTGAATGTGTTTTCTATTCAAAATAAGGTGATGAAAAAAACATGCTAGCTTATAAAAAACTCACATACACACATATAATACATATGTACACACACTAGCATGCATAATAGGCTTTGGTTTAAACTTGTTTTGATGTCTCTCTAGTCTCATAAGCTTCTAGAAAATATTTTTAAACCTTTAGAGAAGTATAAGTTTTGAAAACAGAATTGTCAGAAGAAAAGCCGTTTTTGGAAATTTCCTTTTTATGAACAGCAAAAAAGCTTACATAGCAGTTGACTAGTTGCATATTATCATTTTCCCTTTAACTTTCAATTTATTATTGAAATAATCTCTCGATTTTTTATGCATAAGCTACCTAGCTGACTCAAATGATAAAATTATTTCAGGTGCCATTTTAAAGCAAATCTTGAGGGAAGCATTCTTGAATATGCAAAAGCTATGAAATACTGAGCAAGTCGATGGTAAAGTATCTATTGACTGCACCATCACTCTGAAATTCTATATCAAAAATCTTAGAGAACTGCTAAGGTTGATATATAGAGACTTTAGATTTTAGCACACTGGTCTACTATTAAACACAGCATGTATGTTTGTGCAGTTGATTGGCTAAGTTATTTCTCTGTTTGCAAAATGTGCTTCAAAGGCTCAAGGAATCTCGGAAATAGAAACTAGATACAAATTGGAATTTTAGCCTTACTACTTCACCTTTTTTTAACATATTTGTTGCAGAATAAAGGTTCATTAGAAAGATAATACTGAAAAGGTAATTTGTAGGAATGAACAATATTTTGATAGCGAATAAACAAACCGTCTGCATATAATTCACTCTCTACTCTCTTTATCCTTTCACTACCATTTGTCCAACAAAGATTGCTTCCTCTCGAGATCTATCTATAACCTGCTGCCATTTTTTTCCAAAAGTGAGTATAGTCAAATCCGTAGATAGTTTTAAGTATGCAGCGAAAACTGAAAGACAATCGTTTTTAGAAAATCTCATATTAATTCGTAAGAGCGCTCTTCTGATCACCTTTATTAGAATTGCTTTGTGAAATAGTTAAAGAAATTTCAGTGACATTTGTTCCAGTTGATACAGAAGCACTCAAAATAAGTGTGCATGTTCAATTGACTAGTCATATTTTGCATCGGACAACCAACAAAACATTTTTCACTACGATTAAAAAGGCAACATATATCAAAATTAATCTTTGTTGTTTTTTGACCGCAATCAAATCTTATAAAATTCATTGCGTACCTCACATCAATCCTTCACCAGTTCTTTTGAAAATGTTATGGCGAAAGATTTTTATTGCAGCTTCAAAGTTATAATCGCACATATTTGATATCTCAAACTGATCGACTAAACAATTAATTTTTTTATTAAAATAACGTTAAAAACCAAAGATTAATTTCGTCGAAAAATCTCATATTTTTTATATCAGATATTTTAAATTATTGAAACTTGCTCGAGTTATACTGAATAATTATGTTTATTTTTTATTCACTATTACCATCAACATTTGGTTTCTTTCGACTTTTTTTCAGTCGTTGCTATTCATGCAAAGGAAAACTGATTTGAAACGTCACAGCCATGTTGAAGTTTGATTTCTCTAGGCTGCTGGAAAAAATATTCATCCAGTGGCAGTCATTTCATTTGAAGCAAAATTTTCTTTAATAAATTTTCACAGAACTCTAACACTTTGGCGAAGCAAATTTTCATTTCAGTATGAAAATGTTTGTTTTTGAAATTGAGCGCTCAGATTTTAATGACTTTTCATTATTTTGGTGTTTGTTAGTGTGTTCTGCGTTTAGCTAAGAAATGTTTATAGTCTTGTACTGCAGCACATTTGTTTTAAAATTCAAGAATTTAGTTTGAACAATAGACTTGAAAGGTTCATAATCTTAATACTGCCTAGTGTTTGTGCTTGTGCTCAAGTGTCTAATAGGACTTGTTTTCATTCTGTTTGCTAAACCTTCATCTTTTGAAGAAACTGTGAAAGTTTTTAGATTAGGATAAAAATTATCAATGGAATCATGTCAATGGTTAAAAATAATGGTAATAATGTCCTTCAATTCACTAAAAGTTTGATCACTTTTCTTAGGATGTCTATTTTCTAAAGTAGCGCAATGTTCATCACTAATGTTGCGTATTTAGTACTCATACACTTATTATACATGTTGTTGATGTTTTCATTGTGTTTAATATAATGAATTATCAGGTGAGTGAGCCAAAATGTTCGAATACGATCGCTTGGCGTTAGATGTTGCTGAACAGTTTCTGCGATCTCGATCGAGAGAGACGACAATCTCCCCATCTACGCAAATTTTCGACCCTTTTGTAAGGTTTTGTCATTTTACATAATCTATAATTCAGTAAAATGATCGAAATTATCTCCCACATTTGCCAAGATCCTGATAAAATGGCTTCATGCTACAAAGTTCCTCATGCTTTGCACATGGCCAACCTGGTTTCCACTGTATTCTATTGCGCAGTTAATTAAATATAAACTGGATTTCTTTGAGTGCAAAACACTTTATCAAGTTTCTTTTTAAATATGTATTCATACTGATGACACTGGAAATGAGAGAAGTGAGGAAGCTTCAAAATTCAGAGAACAATTGGTGTCGTGAGTTTTTCACCTTCTAACTCAGATGCTTTTGATTGTGGAGCAAGTTCCGGTTACGCAAGCCCTGGAACAGGTGAAACACCACTGTCAAGTCCCACACCACAAATTTTTTCGTTGCCTAGTCATGTACAGCGTGCACTCTGTGATTCGGGATGTTATGATGATCTCGGAAATGGTGCAGTATTTCTTGGTCCAACCGTTATAGATAATCTACATAGCAAAAAGGTATTAAGACATTTTCACCGTGTAAGAAATTTGAATAATATTCACCGAAAATAAAAAAACTGCCCATTAATCTGCGTACAATTCCTTCTCTTGCTCAAATCATGATTGTAATATCCAAATTTTTTCTAATCACCACATTAGTATGTGGTTAAACTGCATGCTGCATTCAATCACTGCTTTTTCATACTCAATTGACTCACTGATGAATCTTATTTGGAAAATGCATTTTTCTAAAAAGGTCTACTGGTTGTAGTTTTAAAATCATACTCAAATTAATGTGAGCAAAGAATGATCTGTTACTGATTTAACATAAAGTTTGCATAAGATTCAGTAGCACCACAGTTTTCTGTACGAATATCCTAGCTATTAAAATAATTTACTAGTAACTTCTGAACTGAAAATTCTTATAAGAATTTGTTTGTATGTTTTTAGCATCCCATACTTTTTTCTATTTAATTTTTGTGCAGTTTGTACTTATATGTACCACCATTAAATATTATGAAGATAAGTTCGTAATGCGAAATCTTATTTTTTACCTTTTTATCAGTTTCATAAATGACTAAATGCTTGCAAGTTTTAAATATAAATGTAAAATTTGTTTCCAGTTTTCGTTATTTTAGATTGGAAACTCAGAGAATGATGAAAATCTACCATCACAAGCAGCTGAAAAAGATGGATTCTCATCAGATGAAATTGCTCAGTTTACACAGTTACTTTGTTCACCGAAAAAAGCTCCTCCATCAAAGTACCAATGTCACATTTGCTATCGCACTGGGCACTATATATCTGACTGTCCAATGGTTTGTTTTTATAATTTAGGTGGAAGACCGCAAGTATTTGTTGTAAATGAATTCCCTTAATTATAGGTATAGGTTTTGTTCCTTTTATAGTCATTAACAAACCATATAGTCTCTTACTTTTTTAATGAACTGTGCTGCACATTGCTGAAAGCTTCTCTGAAATGTTAACTAACAATACTATGGAGTAAATTGTACTTGTAACGTTTTAAATGAAGTGTACTAGCAGTTTTGTAGAGATTTAATAGTCCTTACGAAGAGCTCACTCCATATCAAGGTAGGAAAAAGTGCTACGGTGAATTTCAATGTCACCAGTGCAAAAGAAAGTGGACAAGCCAGAATTCAGTTGCTAATGAAGCACAGAGTTGCATAAAATGCCACATCTCGGTATTTCCACATAAACAGGTTTGTACAACCAGACTTTAGCTAATATCTTTGCAGAATAACAAGCAGTACAATGTTATCATATGTCATCGATTTTTCAAAAGTGTTCTCTCATTTTAATACTTGATTATAATTAGTCTCTTTTAATTTCTGTAGCTCTACTCTGCATGGCTTAGTTTGCATGCAGTTGCTATAATTTTATTTTTCTCGTGAAGGCTTAGTAAAACTAGTGCATTCTAGAATTTGCCTGATTCATTTCCACGAGAGTCTGAATCGCTAATTGATTTTAACCGTTTTAGTTACCTGTGGATAAAGCTGTAGCCATGGGTTTGGTGAAAGCACAACGTGTTGGCCCAACAAAGTTGGGACCAATTGGCCACGGTCGTCCACCTTTCAATACTATTCGACAATAAGCAACTACAGTTTTCTTAGATATTGAACTAATAAATAGCTAAAAGCAAGTCTTTTTGTAAAGTATTAAGCAGTGCGACATTTAAGTACGAAGGATAATTTTTAGCTCTGATCTGTGTCTTGCGTATCACTGAGTTTATTTTTGCCTGATTCTTAAAGCTTCACTTCATTATAACAAAAATAATATTTCTTTTAAGCTGTACATTTTGTCAGTAAAATGTAGATTATAGATTTCACGTTTTTTATTTCTTTCTCCGTTTCAAATGGTATCCATCATTAAAACTACTATCAAGAGTTTAAATTAGGGAAAAACTTTTATTTCAAAGATCAGCAGTTCAGCTGCCTGAGCAGTGGAGTTACCACATAATTTCTTTCATTTTTTTATTTTAAATTCATATTTTATTTGTTCGAAAGTCAACATTTCCGCTGGAAGGTGATGTGGTACTTTCTGATGTATACGATTAATTTAATAAAAATTCATTTTTTCTTTACTTCGAAATAATTCTGGTTCAATTTCTTCTGCAACAATATTACTAGCCCAGCGCACGATTTGTTGTTTGTTGTATGCATAGTTTGTTGTTCTACAGTACTCTCTACAATAGCTTTTCAAGTTACTCCTGAAATGTATAACTCTTATGGTTTCATACCATAAGATAAATTTTCATTACTGTACATTCATAATATAGTTATTGATCTTTCTGCCCGTAAATAAATCCAACTGACAAGTAGTGTGAATCAGCAAAATAGAGGGATTTTTCGTTACTTTCATACGATAAACAGAATCTGTTTTCTGTTTCCACGCAGTCTTTTACAAGAAGCAGTCTGAAGCATATATCATTTAAAATAAGGCAGTAAGAGGAAAAAATGTGATGTAATATGAACTCGCTAATTTTAATTTGAAGTTATGCAGCACGTTTTTTCATCTTCATGAATTTTAAGAAGAATTCTCCATAGAAAGCTAAAGTATTATGAAATTGAAGTTTATAGAAAGATTGCTCTTGCTACGACCGAAAAACTAGCATTTTTATTTGAAACTTCCATTATGAAGCATGACTAAATCACTTATTTTCGATTAGATTAATTTTGATTGCATATGTTGATTTTTGGTTCGCAGTTTGAAAGAAATCTGTTTTGTGGTGGAATATTGATGGTCCCGATCTACGTGCTTTGAAAAGTCCATTCGACAAAACGTGCTGAATTTTTGCCTTGAACTGTTTTCATTGGAAAATCGCATTGTGACTTATTGGTAGTGCTTACAAATATAGTTTAATGCATACATATAACTTTTCTGTAACTGATTTCAAAGAAAGTGGACTTTATATGATTCATCGAAAAAGGGAGTTGATAGATTTTTTGCAACAAAAGTTCATAGATTCCATATTATCAGCAGAATCTGGGCGCTTGAAATTCACGAGTTTTCATATTGCAATTCCACTTGTTTTTCTTGAGTAAATAGCATTCAGCTGTTATGTGCAGTATCGATAAACTGAGTGCCAAAAACCTGAGAAGAAAACCATGTAAGCTTCTATATAGTTAATTCATTTTAAGAACGAATTTTAAATTGAAACGTAATGCCACTCTTTAATTTCTATTTTTACGTTATATCAGCAATACTAAGAAGTTGGTATAGTAAAGTCATTATTTATATCATCTGGTTTCTAGCATTATCAAGTTCTTAACTGGCAAACTACGCTATTTTGGCATTCAACAAATTATTCTAGTATTTTATGAATGTATATTTGAGTAATGTTCCCAATGCTTTTGTTACAACTTTTTTTAGATGATAAAGCTTTCATAACAGCGCTTGTCAACATTTAATTCACTTGTTAACATTTAAATAAGGTACGGACCAAAACAAAGAGATTGTTGCATCACAAATAAATAGATATCATTCCATATATATTGAAAGGCTTAATATATGCATGTTACTTCCTTCCGAAGCCGAATTTGGGAAAATAGTTGCCTATTTCTCTAATTGGAAGGCGGCAGGGTCTGATGGAGTTTATAACTTCTTTATTAAGAAGTGTACTTCCTTGCATCCAGATCTGTACAAAATAGTAAGAAGGAATTGTCTGAATGGGGAAGAACAGAATCCGTGATTCCATAAAGGTACTATCCAGCTGATTATAAAAGGTGTCCCAAATAAAGGCAGCAACTTCAGACCAATAACTTCCATATCGAACTTTTACAAGTTGACAACGAAATGTGTGACACGCGTCATGCAGTTAGATGTTGCCATGAGGAAGCTGCTTGCAGACAAGCAATTAGGAACTGTTACCCAGGTTGAGGTTCCAAATAACAGGTACTGTTCAACCTGGCGGTTTGCAAAGAGCACGAGAATCAGCTTTTTACTACGTGGTATGACATCAAAAAAGCGTTCCATTCAGTTAATCACGGATACCTGATTAAATGCATTGAAAGGCTTAACATGCCGTCTTGGATCAGCAGGTTTCTGAAAAACATCACCTCCAGATACTCGGTTACATTGAAAAGCAATGGAAAAACCATAATAGAGAAGAAATACAGCGGGGAGTTGTACAAGGTGACAGCCTTTCTCCGCTGCTGTTCATGCATGGACCCGCGTAACCACAGGCTCAATATCAGGCTAATAAACTAGAGACAGAGATGAAATGCAGGACCGAAATAATTCCGTAAGTGATAGCTGGAAATGGGATTCTAACGAACTTCTACAAACGCTACGCGAAGTAGATCAGCGTATCTTATCACGTTAAGGAATATATTCAATCGATAGTGTTCAAGAAGATAAAGAAGATGCTTTATAGCATCTTCTTTAATGACCGCTATGGATTCCGTAAGGATGAAGTAATGGAGATCAGCACAATAAATCTCAGCGCGAGACAAGTACAGCCAGAGTGCCAGAATACGAACCAGCGTCAAGTCAAAGAATAAATTAATAAAAAGAAGATTAACCTCCATATTATTTTTTGAACTTTCTTCATTAGTGGTTGAGGAAATCGAATGTATAATTTTCAATGTGAACGAAGTAAGAAGCGATCAGTTATTTTAAAACTGGCCAAAAAATTTTGTAGATTGTGAGAGAATCTCATCAGACTGTAATTAACATAGTCGTAAAGATCATTTAGCAACAAAAACTTAATGATGTATTTGAAGTATTTAATGATGTATTTGAAGTAATAATATCATAATAATAAGTCTGCGAGAAATTTTATGATAGAAAGCTACGTAGCATGGATGAAAAGTAATTTATCATCGTAAATGGAAACAAATTGTAAGATGAAAGTGCCACCAGGATTTCAAATCATGCATTTGGCGAGAGATGTAACATGGCACTAAATTAACTATTGAGAAAGTAAGTTGCACAAGTTATGATATTATATTCGACTGTTTGAATTAGCCCATTTACAATAGTTTATGAATAACCAATAGTTTATGAATAACTCATTAAATTGTTGTGATGTAATAAAAAGTAAATAAAACATTTGCAAAAGTTATTAGTGATTCTGAAAAAAGCGACATAAATATAAAGCCTAATAATATAAGTTAATTAACTGACATCCGATGCAAGACTATTTGGTTTCATCCTATCAATAAAATAAAGTTTCAATCAATTAAAAAAAATTACACTAAAAAATTGCGAACGCAATGGAAAAATCTTTTATATGAAAACTTAATATCGTTCGCATCAATTTGCTTATTCAAAAGCTTTAAAAGTCACCAGTTGTCCTCGCGAATGGTATTGTAGTAGCTTTTGGGAAACTTTGCAACAATATACATCATTTCAAGGACCATTTCACGGAAATTAGGAGGTGGAAACAAAGCAAGAGGACTGGCTGATGCAGCAATTATGAATTCACGGCTGTAAACGACGCGTATGTCTAGGTGACCATCATCACAACGTCTGGTAACAATTTTGCTTCCTCCTGTTGGATCCGCATGAACAATACTGATCTGTAACAGATGTACACACAATTTTGTGTGCACTTCAAATCAATAATGAATAAAATAAATCACTTTTCAGAAGCATCAACCAGTGGCTGATTTTTTTTTCAAATATTCAGTACTTCACGAGTACATTGGTAATTATATTAAATGATAGCGATTAAGTAAACCACCAAAATTTATAGTAAACCTAAATGAGTCACTTTCTCTTGGCTTTGAAAATGAATGAAACTTGCGATTTTTCGATCTGCTTTCTGGCTACTGACGCTGTAGACACTAGAATCATCAGTTGAAAGCTCATCTCGCGCTGAATGCACTAGCACTGATGTGAGTGGAAGTTCTTTCGTAACTTCCGATGCTGAAGATGACGGTGATACCGGAGTCTTCGTTGAAGTTGTTTTTGTTGATGGTGACTTGCATGCAGATGCCGATATCAACGCGAATTCCAAAGCCGATCCTAAGGATGATACCGATAGCGATGCTGCTGCTTGAATAGTTGCTTCAGATGGCGATGGTGCGTGCACTCGCGTCGTTATTATTTGTGAATGGAATTGTCGGTGGCGTTGGTAGCATTGAGAATCATCAATACCTTGCTGCTGATAAATAAGGCAGTCACTGCAATCACTGATTTCTTGTTGCATATCACTGTCATTAGGTTGACTGGTATTGCGATTCGTTTTGTTTTTTCCCTCTTCAATAAAATTATTGTTCCTGCTACGAGTATTGTCGTAGCCAAAGAGAGAATCATTTGAACCATCAGCTTTACGAATTTCGTGTGACTGAAATACAATCAGATGATAACATTATTTTATTTGCTAAAATAATGTTATCACATCTGACATTCTTTTCATATCATATAGGATAAAGATATCAGTTCTTATTTTATCGCACTTGTGCATCTATGAAATTCGAAATCCATTTCTTTTGCAGACTGTGTTAGTCTTCTGGAAGTAATATGTCATAATGTAGTTGGCATATGATTAAACATTAGTTTCAGTTACTTTTCTACAGTATGCTCCTTACTTTGGAACAAAAGAAAATTCGCCTACCTTGAATGTAGAAGTTAAACAGCGGACAATCGCTGGTGGTGGTGGTGGTGGTGGTGGTGGTGGTGGCCGTGGTGGTGATGGTGGAGGCCTCGGTGCTTCAAATTTACGTGTTAATGGCCAACATATGGAAGTGCCATCGATTTTTTTGATATTATGTACTCCTAAAACATCCTACGTGTTTAATTTGTTTATAGTCAAAAATTTTCTTTAGAATTAGAAAGTTTGAGCATTAGATAAAAAAATTACTTCTTAGTAGTGAAACATGTGCTTATACTTTTTAAATTTCCTGTTAATATTTTTAAATAAATTGTAAGTATTCAATCAAATAAGACACATTTTTAACTTTTTCATTTCTATCAACTATTATTCCATTTCTAGGATCCCAATGCATTTCTTCATTTTATGATTTCGAACTCATTATTATAGTGTTCATAGGACGACAATATTTTAATTTACCGAACATTAAGAACAGCTCTTTCCGATGAAAGTTTCCTTACATCTACAGTTTCTTCTTCATACAAGTTTAAACTTGTTATCTTGAAAATTGAATTACAAAATCGATTTAACTACTACAAAATACTAACGGTGATGCGCAGCATGTTCCTCTTCTTCGAAAATTGTGTCTAGAGATCGACTATTCATCGTGTTGATCTGGTGGACGCAAGACTAGACAGAACTGCTTTCGAAAGAGTGCAAACGAAATCAATGCAAATTGTCGAAATGAAGAAGAACTTAAGGAAAGTAAATAATGCAATATGCAAATTTCTCAATTTGATTGCTTTGAGGCATAACATTGAATGCGGAAATTTGCATAAAGTTATACAAAAATTTTTAACTGTTTTGAAAACTTCTTTTGAAAATCAAATGTATAGCTAAAATGATTATTTTTAAGTAACGATCGATAATAACTTTTAATTTAGGGTGGGTAATTTTATTCCATAATAAAACATAAAAATTCATTTTCTCTCAATCGTTCGAAATATTTGTAGCAGAAGTTATTACAAATCTTTAATTCATTTTTTTCTTCTTCAGTTAAAAACTTCCCGTATTCGTGTATAGTCGTGAAGAAACTGTGCTTTTTGATGCTTTAGCAAATTCAAAGTACCATGAAGCATAATTTTTGCTGTATTAGATACATTATAATTTAGAATTGATTGGAGATTTCGTACTAGCTTTTGCCATAGACTAAATTGAAATTTGATGGGTAAATAGTAAAAAGAAATAGTGAATGGTACAATAATAATATATCACTCAATATAGATTAGAGTTCCAACTCCTCATTCAGTATCATAACTGTTAGTCGAGTTAGTAGTTCCTTACGATCCATACAGTGACATTGCTCCGCAATTTGTTCCACAATGAATTACAAGAAAAATGTTAGCTAAAGCTAAATTTACTCAATTTCCAACTTTAGTTTGGTTGATCATTTAGTTCTTATTAAATCGTCAGTGTCCATGTATATGAATTATTTGAAATCAGCTAAGCTTGCTCTTCCACTCATTGTTGAAGAAATTTTTGATTAGAAAAATGTTATTTCATGCAAAATATTCGTGCAAATTGCGAAAGCCGTTGAAAAACATTGTCGTGTCTGTTTTGTAGAATTATGTGGTGACTTTTTATGAATTTATTTCATATAGAAGAAAAGATTGGAAGGAAGAATACTATTTCATGATTTTAAAACAATGGAAAAAAATATTGAGTGAAAATCTCATATGGAAGTAATATTTGAGTTAAACGTTTGCTCTAAGCGAGAACTAGGAATATTCAACGCCGATAAGATTTTAATTGACGGCAGGGTAATCATTTCACAGGTTAGTTTATTATGTCCAGTGAAGTGTTTACGACGTGAATTTTCATTTGGTGCATGAAATTTTTGTCGTGTTCTTAAGGTACTTTGTGTCATAGTTCGTATTCGTTCATATCGTCGACGGCATGGTAGTAAGAGCAATTGACGAAATGCACGTCGATACTTGAGACTGTATACAACATAAATAAGTGGATTCAATGATGAAGACAACAGTGATAACCACTGGAAAACTGGTCGCAAAACTTGAGATGCCAATTGAAAGGAAGGAGTGTTGTAATCTTTCATCAGGATGAAATAACAGTATATTCCTGTAACATACAAAGCTTCTATTGCATTAGAAAGCGTTTTATGCGATTCGAGGAGAAAACTGAAAAAGTTATTGCTAATAAAGAAGTAAAGCGAGTATTCATTCTAAAGTTTGTGCTCACTTACTGAAATTGTAGGTATCGAAATTCTATCATGATGGTATGAGAACTGTTTGTGAAAAATATAAACGCATGAAGAAAATCAACTAACCATGTAAAGGTAACCAACACAAAGCAAAAACAATTATAACGGTAAGCATCATTTGGGCAACTCGCAGTTTCACACGTTCATCACGAATCTAAATAGTGAATTTCATTGAGACTTCGCTTTAATATCTTGCTTTACTCATTAGAAAAAAAGCAAACCTTACGAATTCATCTTACTTTAGCATCCACGGCCAAACTGCGATGATTGGATACAGTGACGAAAATGCGAGTATAAAAAGCAGATATTAAAGCAAATGGTATGGTAAATGCAAGCAGCAAGTTGACGATTATGAAATTGATTGTTTCATCTTGTGTTGCAATACAAAGGCGAGCTACCAAAGTACTGTTTGGTGGATCTAGTGCAAATAATATCTGGAAAATTATACATTTATCTTTAGTCAATAATATTGTATTAAGTTTCGTAATTATTGTTGATTTTAAAAACACTATCACTTTTTATCATTATTCCATGATTACCATTATGAAGCATATTGCTATGCTTACTTTAAAATATGGTTTTTTTATTCCAAAACTGCATAGGCAAATTTTAACTATAATACTTAACAACAGTCATAGTTAGGTGAGATATATCACAATCAAAGTAAAGTGCATAAGTCTCATAAGCACTTCGTCGTAAATAGCAAGTGTTGGAGCAGCAAGCATTCCACTAAGCAGCCATATTCCCGCAATCACATATAATGTCCAACGGGAATCCCATACAGCATATTTCATTGTATGACAAATCGCCAAATAACGATCCGCGGTAACAGCAACCAAGGTGAAAATTGACGCGCAAGACGTTGTTGAATTTATCCAAGTTGACATTTTGCATGCTGCTGCTCCAAGCTGCCATTCTGCAAGTCCTTTATCACATCTAAACTTCTGAATAGGCATAGAGATGGAATGATAGAATTTCTGCATTATTGAAGTGTTAACTGATTTTTTATTCACGTATAAAAATCAAATGGAAATTACGATAACGTATTTATTTCTTTCAGTTAGTGTTACAGCAAGCAGTTGCTATCACTTAATTTGATTTTGTTTAATAATTAGCACATATATGTATCTACGAAAGGTAATTTTAATTTTTAACGCTGTCAAAAAATGATGTATTTTTTAATATTCAACAATCACAGTTCTGAATTTTTGCCATGTACTTGCTACAATTTTAAGCCTATGTATTTTTTGACACTTCATGAACTTTAGTTGTTATTTTAGAACTTTTTGAGCTCATTTAAAACTTTGTCTTAAATACTGAATAAATATCAACACGTTTCATCTAAGCAATAAATTGCATATTTTTCAAAATTTCCCAGCTAAAAAGAAAAATGTTACAACAATTAAAAGAATGGAAACAGAAGAGATTGATCAAAATGAAAATTTATTTAAAGTTGTGATTAATCATATGCAGTCTTTTACTTTTTGTGATTTCAAATAATTTTTTTTGCATAATTTAATATAATCTGGGACAATTCAAATTCACAGTAAGAAAAAGGAATGCTATTGTTTTGCATACGGCTGTTTGCTATGAATTCGGCCTAATACTGTCCACCTACTCTAAACTATGTTGTAAACAAATTAATAAATAGAAATTCAAAAGCAATACGCAGATTAGCAATTGTCTCATTGGATTTCGAATAGATAAAGTAGATCATTAGAATGCAAAATTTTCAAAAAAATAATTTTTGTTGTTTGCGAGATGGCAATTGAGGAGTGGTAATGATCAGGTTGTTAATGCAGTTAATACTAAATTTGCCTTTGTATTTTTCTTTCAGTTACTGTTGAAAGAATTTGGAAATGTTTTGTTAAACTCATGCAATTTGAACATATACTGCTTAACTAAATTAACTGAAAGCTTGCATTACAAGCTAGCAATCTGAAAATGAGTTCAGCTAAATATGATTTGCCATCCATGCAGTTCCATTTAATTCTTAGAAAACCGTAGAAAATGGTGTAACTTTATTTTTTTGCTACACTTGAAACCCTCAAAACTGTTGAAATGATTTTAATGAATGAGCATACTTCAGCTTTTTGCAGCATTCATCCATTTCTTCTGAAATCCAAACTCTCTTAGAAGATGTAAGATAGACAATTAAATTAAAATGTCTTATCTTTTCCAAGCTTTTATCGTCAATAGATGTGTCTTCATTTTTTAAAAGATTTCTCTATTTGATTTATTTGGGTCTTATGGCTGCACCATTATTTTACGAGCAGTGTACTTTAGAAATGATAATTGAAAAGCCTTTAATAAATTGTTTTATATGACCAAAATGAAAAAGCAGAGAAATGTTTCGTTTTATTGGAGGATAGCAGCTACAATCAAAATTTCGATCAATTAGCAAACAAAATAGTCGAATTAGATTGTATTTACTCAAGAAGAGTCGAAGCAAAAATTTACAAAAATAAAATGTGATATCATGTTTTCGAAAAATCTTGGGAAACCGAATAAAAATATATAGTTGAACAGAAGAGAGTTACATTAGTTTCAGAAATATTCAATAAATATTGTTTCATGCGATTAAAAAAAAACAGTAATTTACTAACTGATGAAGTTAACTGGTTTTTTTCCACCAACCTAAGTTCAAATATAATCATTTCTCGCAGTTTTCAAAGACAACATAAAAATTGATAAAGAACTTAGAAATACACTTCATGTAAGAAATAAGTAAATTAAAATTTTAACTCTAAAAATCAAGATCCATCTTTATTCAGTAAATAAACAAATTCTTTAACGACTGAAGTTTGTAACCATTGCTCAGCAAACAAAAAACAGAGTCGCAATTGAAATTAAAATGATTTTAACGATCATTTATTGCGAAACATTTATTAACTGTTTCACATACAATTGAATATCAACCCGAATGCTTCTTAAAAATTGTCAACTCAATTATGTCCATTATTTTCATGCAGGCCTAGTCTCAAAAATTTTGATCAATATCGACTAATTAGTGTTTCTAAGAAAAAATTAAGGATTAACATTAGTCAAAAAAATTCAGAGCTTAAAGATGAACACTTTTTGATGCCCTAATTATTTGACACTACATGAACTTATTAATTTTGAAGTATCGTGGATCAGAAGAATCAAATATCGTGGAAATTTATCGCCATCAATTAGGAATTAATTTAAATTAATAAGTAATTAATTAAAATTAATAAGATAGTAAAGTTATTTGGATCGAATCATATCACCATTTTCTTTTTCAAACTTCCGGAAAAAAATAAATCCGTCAGATTTTTCCATTTCATCTTTTGTATTTGCTAGTTAGTGAGTCCAAATACTTTTGATAGACTTATATTTACTGAATACTTCAAAATCATGCTTGTTTCACATAAATTGAGAAGCAAAACGAAACTTCAGATAATTTCTTTGCTTAGTATTTGTCATCTTCGATGAGTAAAACGCAATGTAATAACGTATGAAAGCGAAAGTAAAACTAAATTGACTCTTCATAGTTGAAATTTGGCATCAAATATTTAAGTATTGCTCTTTACAGAAGTTATTGATCTGGGAGAGTAAAGTCACAGATATATATTAGATCATTCATGCGTCATCACCTAGCACAAAGAATATTGAATGTTTTTTCGGTTTTACCCATTATGTTCTTCGACGTTTGTAAATAAGATTAAAAATGCATCAGACACTGTCTAGTCATCATTTCATAGAAGAAACCCACAATGAAAAGTTTTTACTCATGTTTTGAAGGTAAACGAAGACGCAAAAAGCATTAACAACCTGTCAAGAGATTATTAAGTAGGGTTGTTGGTAGGCAAAAAATTATAATCAATAAATCTGCAATAGCTAGCGATGATATCAAATAATCTGTTGATGAACGCAGTTGGGGGTGAAGAATCACAGATAGTACCACAAATATATTACCCAAAAAGCCCAGTAAAAATACTGCGGAATAAAATGTAGAGTAAATAATTAGTAATAAAGTTGGATGACGAGTAACATCTAATTCTTCCATAGTGTTTGAAGCAGTGAAAGAATTGTTATTGTAGGTTTCTTGCTAACTAAAACAATATTAAGTGAGGTAATGGTAGTAATGGTTAATAGCAATGTGATAACAATGCAGTAATAATATATTATTATTATTATTATTATTATTATTATTATTATTATT